GCTTTCGGCCTCTACAGACCCTCGCTGGGCCCCAGGACTGTCAAAAAACGTCCCAACAGGAAAAACCAGTCCTGGGGAAATGATCGAGACTTCCGGGACCCCCGAATTGAAAAAATCACGACATCGGATCTCTGGGTACAGAATCATGTAACTGATTTTCCTAGCGCCTCCCGGCGCCGGGAGGCGCCTATATGTATCGAGGAATGGGCCCGTCGGCGGGGCCGGAACCAGCTGCGTGCAGCAGATTTCGTACCCCCCCTCTCCCTATCCCCCCGTTTCGTTCGGCCCGACCTTCGAGCGGGGACGCGCAAACGTGGATCAGCGATCTGGGGATTTGGCGCGCAGTCGACCGCGCGCCAATCCCCGGATCGGGGGAGAGGAGCCCACCCCCGGATCCATGGATGTGGCGATCGCCACATCCATGGATCGGGGGAGAGGTGCCCTCCCCACAAGGCGGCCGGCGCCGCCTCGAGCTCGGCGGCGGAGAAATCCGCGAGATTTCCCATGGAAAAAGGGACCCGTCGCCAATCCACGCCCCCTTGATTCACGCTTGCGACCGCCGGAGTCCTGCACGCTCCGCGAAGCTGGAAAGAAGCAAGCGTTGGCGCCCCCACCCCCTGCCCCCGATGTCTCCCTGGTGCAGTGGCGCGCGCGCGCGGCACGGGCCGTGGACCCCGGCGGGAACGGCGGAGGTCATGTGTTTCGGCATCGGCACTGACGTCTTGGGGGGTCCGGGGGCGCCCACGCGGCGCAGGAACGCCTTGCTTTCAGCTTCTCGGATGGATGTGCGCGGAAGGAGAACAAGCTGCATCAACATCTCGGATGGGCGCACGTAGAAGAAGGAACAACTGCATCGACACAATTGTGCTGGAGGTCCACGCGGATTTCCTAGAGCTGCATTGGAGTCCCCCTCGTTTGGCGCGCGGAGCGCGCCAGGGGAGAGCGCCAGAGGTGCTGCCGGGGGGTCCGAGCGCAGATCTCCCAAATCCGCGCTGAGCTGCTCGTGTATGTGTAAGATGCTGTTGCGCGCGGGGCCGCGGATGGCCGCGGCGCCAACAAAAAGTGGCGCTGTTCTCCTCCGGAGTCCTTTTCTCCACGGCCCTCTCGAAGGCCGTGATGAAGCCGTCGGTCGTCTGCTTGAACTGGCGCAGGTCGAACTCGAAGACCGCGGCCTGCCGGAGCACGGCGAGGCTGCCCAGGTCGATCGTCAGCACGCGGTTGGGGCCCACCATGTGGATCGCTCGCCTGGGCAGGCCGAGCCTGGAGAGGGCGCTCTTGTAGCTGGCCGCCGCCAGCCGGCCCTCCTCCTGCTCCGCGGCGAACCACAGCGGCTTCGTGCCGAAGGCATCGACGGCCAGCACGGCCACGCCCTTCTCGAAGTCGAACAGGGCGATCGCGAACTCCCCGTCCAGGACTCTCGGGAACCGCTCCCCGAACGCCAGGTAAGCGGGGATGATCGCTTCCCCATCTGAGCTGAACGGAGTGCTCCCGACCGTGCCTGCCAGCTCCCTCCAATTGTAGATCTCACCGTTGAACAGCACGGCCACCCTCCCAGACATGATCGGCTGGTACGTGCGCTCCCCAGTCATGTGCAGGAGGTTGTGGACGAAGTCGAAGCCTTCGAGCCTGACGTGAGTGGTGGCATCTGGGCCACGCGGCCTTGAGGAGGAGGAAGAGGAGGAGGAGGAGGAGGAGGAGGATGAGGATGAGGAGGTGGAGAACAAGGAAGGTGGAGGAAGAGGCAAGGAGGTGGCCTCAAAAAGAAGTTCACGAAAGTCAGGTTACCGATGAGCTGGTTGGCGACCTTCCCCCTGTATCTCTCCCTTTCAATCTCGTGCTCCTCTTCTCTCCTGGTCTTCCCCCAATCCCCCCAGGGCACACCTGCTCCTCCTCCTCCTCTTCCTTTTCCTCCTCCTTCTCCTCCTCCTTCTCCTCCTCTTCCTTTTCCTCCTCCTTCTCCTCCTCCTCCTCCTCATCGGTCTCCTCCTGCGCTTCCTTGTGCCCAGTGCCCTATCCTCCTTATCATCGTCACTCTCATCATCAGCATCATCATCATCAGCATCATCATCATCATCATCACCATCACCATCACCATCAGCATCAACATCAACATCAGCATCAGCATCATCATCATCAGCATCATCATCATCATCATCATCATCATCATCGTCATCGTCATCGTCATCGTCATCGTCATCGTCATCATCATCATGAGCAGCATAATCATCTTCAACACCGTCATCATCATCATCATCATCAGCACCACCACCACCAGAATTATCATCAGCAACCTCATCCTCATCCCCATCCTCATCCTCATCCTCATCACAATCACCATCAGCAGCATCATCATAACCATCATCACCATCATCATCACCAGCATCACCAGCATCATCATCATCACCATCATCATCGTCATAATCATCATCATCGTCAACATCACCATCATCATCGATGTCATACGTTACGTCGTCGTCGCCGCCGTCGCCGCCGTCGTCGTCATAATGATTATCATTATCAGCAGCAGCATCAGCATCAGCATCATCAGCATCACCCTCAGCATCACCACCATCGCCAGCATTATCATCATCATCATCATCATCATCATCACAACCACCACCATCAACACCACCACTATCACCAACACCAGCATCATCATCATGGACAGCATCACCATCACCATCGTCATCAGCATCACCATCACAAGTATCGCCATCATCATCACCACCATCATCACGATCATCAGCAGCATCAGCATTATCATCGGCATTAGAATCATCAGCATCAGCATCCTCCTCCTCCTCCTCCTTCCCATCATCATCATCATCATCATCATCATCATCATCATCATCATCATCATCATGATCATAATCATAATCATCATCATCATCATCATCATCATCATCATCATCATCACCATCATCATCATCGCCTTCCACCATCTCTCCCTCCATCCATCACTCCCCAACCCCTCCCCCTCCTCCTCCTCCAACTCCTCTTCCTCATCCGCCTCCTCCTCCTCCTCGTCCTCCTCCTCATCCGTATCCTCATCCTCATCCTCCACCTCCCCCTCCTCCTCCTCCTCTCCCTCCTCCTCCTCCTCCTCCTCCTCCTCCCTCCTCCTCCTCCTCCTTCTCACTCCCCTTCTCCCTCCTCACTCCTCTCCTCCTCCTCATTCTTCTTCTTCCCTCCTTCTCCTCCTCCTCCTCCTGTTCCTCCTCCTCCTCCTCCTCCTCTTCTCCTCCTCCTCCTCCTCCTCCCCTCACCCTCGTCCTCCCCCATGTCCTCCTCCTCATCCTTCTCCTCATCCTGATTATCATAACCCTCCTCTCGGCAGCGCGCGGGAGTACCCGCGTGGGAGGAGGAGGAGGAGGAGGAGGAGGAGGAGGAGGAGGAGGAGGAGGACGACGAGAAAGAGGAGGAGACGGAGGAGGACCAGGAGGAGGAGGAGGACGAGGAGGAGGAGGAGGAGGAAGAGGAGGAGGAGGAAGATGAGGAACAGGAGGAATAGGAGGAGGAAGAGGAAGAGGAGAAGGAAGAGGAGCAGGAAGGGCCGGGGGAAGGAAAAGAGGGAGGAATGAGAGAAGGGGAGGAGGAGGAGGAGGAGGAGGAGGAGGAGGAGGAGGAGGAAAAAGACCACTGCAAACCCATAACTCAACGATATTGCGATGGGCTCTCCCTCCAAGCTCCTTTTCCAGATGCCCCACTCAAAGGCTCATATTCACTCGGGGAGCTGCCTCGTTTGAAAACAGCCGCTTTGAACATCCGGAACTGTGCCAAAACACCATTTCTGGGACTTCAACGCAGCGAATCACCGCGTTCTGGCGATCCTGAATCGTGCCAAAATTCCATTCGTGGGACTTCAACATCGCGAATCAACGTGACTGCTGCGCCCTGACACTCCGACATCGTGCCAAACAAACTCTGGGACGTTAGCCATGATAACGTTTGAAAATGCTGTACACTCTTAAGACGAGTGCGCGTGGAGCTAAGGCGAGAGCCACACTTGAAACAAGAGCCACCATCCATTCATGGAGCTGTTGCGAGCTCATAGAACGAATGTGCACGACGCTAAAACGAAAACCACATGTTGAAAGCGGGCCGCCCTCCATCCGTAAAGCTCCTGCAACAGGTTAAACCGAATGTGCGCTGCGCTAAGACGAGAGCCGCATTTTGAAAGCCGACTGCTCTCCATCTGCGAAATTGTTGCAATTATTCAGCTTCAAGACCCAGCGGTGAGGAACTGTCAGGCAAAACGCGCGGCCCGCCTTTTCGACTGGCCTCGGGGTGCGACAGGGAGGAGTTATTCATAGGGAAGATAGATGGAGGAGGAGGACCAGTATCCAGCATCAAAGTCCTATCAGGATGGCCCGCGAGGGGCAGGACACCGTGTGAAACTGTGTGAAACCCTCAGAGGTCGAAGTGCGCCTTCGCCGCACAGCAGGCCAGTTCACGAGTCAAGCTTTGCCAAATCTCCTCGCTGCCGCCTAGGGATTGCCACTCCTCCAGCCCACGTTCCGTGCAAAATCGCCGGATGGAGTCCTCGAGACGCATCCACCAGCGACTGATTGGGCGCTTCGGGCGAAGCGAACCCCACTCGTTTGCAACCGCCTGCCAATAATAATCCCTCCACGTCGCCACCTTGGATAACCACTCCACGGCACTTGTCCGCGCCACCCGCCCTGCCAAGATCCATTTTCTTCGAAAGTAGACGAGCGCGCTCCACGACTCGCGAAGTGACTACTCGCAAATGGCCTGAGTCCGCCGCGGGGGATCCACGATAAACCTCCCCGAAGCAAGCATCTGTTTTTTGTCTCAGACGCTTGCGAGTAGGCGCTTTGCGAATATGGAACGCGCCCGGTGAGAAAGTCTTCGGCCCCCCCCCTCTTTCAGCCCAAGAGAATTAGCAAAATGCCGTGCTTTACGCGTGCCTCTTTTGACCCAGTCCACCCAAGGCACTTCTCTGGCACGCCCGCACCGTACAGTTCGTCGAAGCATGGTATTCTGGGCCAACATCAGTTTTCTCTGCTCCTTTTGCCCGGGGTGTCCATGACTCAGATGCCCATAATACACATTCTGATCAATAGAGCTGACTAAGCGGAGCCTTTTCTTGAGCGAGTAATTCGCGTTCGCACAGTGTCTCAAGCGGCCTTCAAGAGAGCGGCGGAAAGGCAAAGCCGACGCACTATGTTGCTGTGGGACTTCGTTTTCAGACAAGATGAAGCGTAGATCCACCCACAACGAAGTCAGAGAGAAACTCGAAGCGCTTCGCGCGTGCGTCAGCACACTGTTGAGAAACCTCCCTAGCTTGGAGGGAAACACCTCGCCTTTGAACTGAGGGTGGCAGGCGGGGACAGGGAGGCGAGAAAAAAGGAGCGACTACGGATGCACAGTCTAGGACGGAGCTCTGAGACGCGTTGTCCGAAGGCCTCCTGTTCTGAGGAAAACGCGTACAAACTCACATTCGCACAGTGTCTCAAGCGGCCTTCAAGAGAGCGGCGGAAAGGCAAAGCCGACGCACTATGTTGCTGTGGGACTTCGTTTTCAAACAAGATGAAGCGTAGATCCACCCACAACGAAGTCAGAGAGAAACTCGAAGCGCTTCGCGTGTGCGTCAGCACACTGTTGAGAAACCTCCCATACGCATAATGATGTCCAGGGTGGTGGTGGGGTAGCTGGTTGGCGCATTAACGATACTGGCGAAAAGCGTTCTTGAGCAGGTCCGGGAGCTGGCGACCGGCAGCAATCGCGTCCCGCCTCTGGCGGGCTGTCATTTTGTGCAATTGCCGAAGGAGTGTCGCATGCTTCTCATAGCGCCTTACTGACGCAGGGCATTTCCACTTTCCACGATCCTGAATTTGTTGGATGCTGAGGGCCTTGAGGTAGGCGTCGGTGGACGGGCCAGTGTGGCGAAAACAGTGCGGCACAATCCTCAGGGCGTTCAGCTCGAGCGCCTCACAGGCCTCTTTGATAGCTTTCTCATAGGACTGCAACGTGAGATGACGAAAAGCGAGCCTCGCTGCCGAATCGGCGACAGCAAATCCTCTCTCTTGATGTCCAGCAGGGCGTTCGGGCGCACATAGGTGTCGACCTGCAGCGCCACAGCAAGGGCACACCAAAAGTAGAAGGCCTGATTCTTGAGCAACAGCCACTGGACAATCAGCCACGCCGCCTCGATCGGGCACGGGTCCCGAATGCGACCAGGCATCTGACGAAGACAGCCTCTAAGCGCGGCCTTGGCCCTGGGCAGCGCGTGTCCCCGACGACCGAGATGGGAGAGCCGCAGCAGCGCGTAGCCGTAGAGGGCCCACCTTCCCAGCTGGGGCTGCTCCCTCTGGGCGTACAGCCACTCGAAGTAGTCCGACATCGCAGAGTCTGCCGCCTCGTGCGTGCGGAGGCTGAGCGCCCTGCCAGCCGCCCACGCCTCGAACCCCCCGACCTCCGCCTTGTAGGTGCTCAGGGTGGCAGGCGAGACGCTGTTCTCGACCAGGTTTCGAGGCTGAGGAGCAGGTCCGTGACGAACTGCAGGGGGCCGAGCGAGACGATGCCGACGACCGCCGCCTCTCTGCGCGGGAGCGCGCAAGGGCGCGCCACTGCTGGCCCACGTATGCGATGAGCCTGCCTGGGGCCCGGTCGAGCTCGCCGCCGACGTGCGGGGCCGACTTCCACTGGTCAAAGCCCCCTCGTTGACGACGCCGGAGCCCTGGATCGTGCGCTTGTTGGAGACTGGCCGAGCTAACGACATGTCTAGCCGCGGCATTCTGATCAACTGGAAAGATATGGTGTCGCCGGGCGTGGGCCCGA